TTCTATTCGAGAGCATACACCTAACCCTTTCGGTAATAGTTCTGTTCATTCTTTCTGCCACGCAATTATGTTGCAGAGTCTTTGGAACACTCTTCTGAAGTTTAATGCCATGGTCTCGGCAATACTTCTCAAACGGACCCCTGTACTCACCACCATTATCTGCTCGAACACACTTCAACTTCTTGCCAGTCTCTCTTTCAACTCTAAGGTGAAAGTCTTTGAACGCATCTAATACCCGGCCTTTAGATTTCAAAGAAAAACACCAAAACTTTTGAGCATAGTCATCAATGAAAGTAACAAAGTACAATGCTCCACCCAACGACCTATCTTTCATGTAACATACATTTGTATGAACTAACTCTAGAGGACTGGATTTTCTAGATGGAGGAGAATTTTGAAAGGAAACCCTATGCTGTTTACCATAGATACAGTCAACACAAGGTTCTAGAGTAGTACCTTTCACCTCAAGGAGAAATTGCTTCTTACCAAGAATCTGGAGCCCCTTGACAATAATGTGTCCAAGCCTTCTGTGCCAGAGATCAATGGAGGCATTGTGAGTTGCATTCACCTCTCCATTCTTCAACTTTGCATTCAACACATACAAAGAGTTCAACTTCTTTCTTCTAGCAATAACAAGATTCCCTCTGGTAATTGTCCAACGACCAACACCTTCAGTGCTATGATAACCCTCATCATCAAGTTTTCCAACGGAAATAAGGCTCAGACGCATATCCGGAACATGTCTGATATTCTTCAAGACAAGAGTACAACTTGTATTTGCTACCAATGATACCTCTCCCATGCCGACAACATCGCATGAGGCTTGATTGCCCATTCTTACACGACCAAAATCTCCAGGTGTATAAGAGGTAAAGAAGTGTCTGTGAGGCGTCACATGATAAGACGCACCTGAATCACCAAACCAATCACTGTCGTGACTCGCAACATTAATTGTATCATCATCACAATACAAAAATACATCACTGGCAGTTACTACTGCAGTAGTGTCATCATCACTTGATTCATCCTTCTTGCCTTTACCTTTTCTCACTGCTAGTTCTCTCTTGAAAACCCTACACTCTCTCTTAAAGTGCCCATTTGCTTGACAATGGTAGCACACGACATCTTTCTTGGATTTAGACCGTCCCCTGGACTTGTCATTCCGATCACGTGGCCCTCTGCTTTTACTTCTCTCTCTTCTATCTGACTTTTCTGTCACCAGACTCTGTGACTCAGACTCAATACTCTGCTCTTTTCTTCTGACTTCTTCATTCATCAAAGCCTCCTTGACCTGATCCAAGGTCAAGACACCATCCTGGGTTGAATTACTGATTGACACTACCAAAAGTGTCCCAACTGTCTGGAAGAGAACTAAACAATAACAAAGCCTGCACCTCCTCATCCAACTTTAAACCTGCATTCACTGTCTGGTTCAACAACCCCTGAAACGAACTCAAGTGCTCATTCATGCTAGCACCATCTTTGTACCTCAACCTGGTAATCTGTTTCAGCACAGATGACTTTCTGATGCCGGACTTCTTCCAGTACATAATCTGGATTTTCTCCCAAAGTTTATCAGCTTTTGTTTCTCCCGAAAAGTGATGAAACTCGAATATTATCAACAGTTTTTCTGTGCATATCAGCCACTTTTTATCAGTCATATCACTTGGCTTACCTTCATCTCCTACAAACAAATCTTTGCAACACAACAAGTCTTCCATTCTAGGTTTCCACATATGATAATTGGATGAAGTCAATTTAATCATCGTACCAGTACCCGATGACTCTTCTATTTTATTGGTGTAAAACCTCAACTACCGAACCATAGCTCTGATGCCACTGTTGTGGTGGAAAGGGCATAAACACAACACACCATGGAAGTGAACCTCAGGAAAAAAACTCCTTTCCTACTACCAATAAAATAGGACAACCAAACAAGCAAAATAATTCAAGAACTAATAAAATAAAGGAGGCACACAGATTTACGTGGAAACCCAAATCGAAAAAAACCACGGGACTGTAACAACAGTCAAATCTCCACTATCACAATAATGGGAAAACAGTCTTCACCAACCGGTGGATACACAGGACTTCACCAAAAGGTGGATTACAACAATATTCTTTCACACACACCTAAACCACAAAGTAAGATTGGAAGGATCTCACCAAAAGAGAGTTAAACCGAAAACTAAGCCCTAGTTTTCTTTCTTTTTCTCTCAAACAAAAATAATGCACGGTTGCCCAAACTTTTCTTCTCTTCTCGGCTGGAAAAACACACACACACATAAGGTTGTGTGCAACCTTGCTTTTATAAGCAAACAAAAACAAAACCCAAGAGTCAAAAAACTCAACCAATTGGTTTTTGGTTTCAAGCACTGCTGGGCCCAATTGTGGGGAACCCGGACCCAACAAGTTTTAACAAGAGGCAAAAAATGGTCTAAAATGCTTGTGACTTGAGTCTTGTATTTCTTCAAGAAAGTCTAGGTACTACGGCTATAATCATCAATGACAATAAGAAAGAATTGTGAACCATTTAGGGCTGGTTGCTTATAGGGACCCCACACATCAATATGAAGCAAAGAAAAGCATTCAATGGGTTGAATTGAGCTAATAGGAAAGGCATTTCTGGATTGTTTAGCAAGAGGACAAATTTCACAACATTGTGTATCACATTGTTATTTGAGAAGATTATATTAGAAGAAATTTTATTCATGAGATTATTCGATGGATGCCCTAATCTTAAATGCCAAGTAGAAGTGCTTTCAACAGAAAGTGCACTTGCTGAAGTCTTATTCCTCGTTATAGAAGAAAAAGTTCTAGAATTTAGTACACAAGAGGCATAAAGTGTCTGAGACTTTTGAATAGATTCAACAGTGAAGGATTCTCGGTTTAAGATGTATAGAGCTCTGACAACATAACCAGCTGCAATGGCTATATTAGTCTGTAGGTCTTGAAGTAGAAAAACCTCTTCAAAGAACTTAAAATAAAGGCCTGAATCTTTAGCCAACTTTCGAACTGATAACAGATTATATTTGAAACTTGGAACATATAAGCAAAATCAAATAAAGTCAAGGTTTTAGATAACAGAACGTTTCCAGAAGATTGAACTTGTTTTATGTTACCATCTGGGAGATATATGGGAGTAAAACGATACACAGACTGAATATTGATCATGAATTTCAATGAATTGCACATATGCTTTGTTGCACCCGAGTCAATAATCCAGGAATCATTTCCTATATAATCAAGAAAATTAGAACAATGTAAAGAAAGGACAGCACTGCTACCTGCAAAGTCCTGAAAGTGTGCAAAGTTGACTATATCAGTTGCATCTGCAATGTTTTCCCTTTCATGAATTTTCCAAATTCCCTCTGACCCGCATCAGCAATTGCATTCCAATCTTTTTTTTTTTTTTTTCAGATTCCACAGCATCTAGTGGTGTTTCTGTGAGATTGGCATGATTTGCTCCTTGACTCCTGCCTTTTGGAGGCTTCCACCAATCTGGAAATCCATTCAGTATGAAGCAATCTTCTTTAAGATGTCATGTTCAGAGACAATGCAAGCATCTGAGATAACTCTTGTCCTTCTTCATAGTATTTTTCTGGTTTCCCTCTGTCTTGAAGTGCTGAGCCTTCACCATCAAAGCCGATCTTTCAGTGATTGAGGTCATATTGATAGATACCTGCTTATGCTTTTCAGCTTTCAATAGCAGTGCATACACCTTGTTGACAGAAGGCGTTGGATCCATCAGTAAAATTTGACTCCTTTCAGCTTCAAAAGAATCATTGAGTCCCATAAGGAGCTGCATAATTTTATCCTCTGTGTCTCTTTCTATTAGAACTTTTCTAACTGCTTCACCAGTATCAAGCATTGGCCTTAGTTGCTCAAGTTGATCCCAGAGTTGCTTTAAGTGATTATAGTACTGAACTATAGATTTATCATTCTGTCTGACCAAGGCGATTTCACGCTTCAACTGATATAATAATGCAGAATTAGAAGCTCCATACCTCTCATTAATTTCATCCCAAAGTTCCTTTGCACCAGAGATGAACATGAAGTTATTAACAAGATATGTTGAAATGGAGTTCTTGATCCATGATACCACCATGCTATTCACACGCCTCCACTTCTTATAGTGTGGTGAATCCGTAGCCGGCATCGCACAACTTCCATCGATGAACCGTAGCTTCATCTTCGCCTCAAGAGACGTGAGCATAGCACTCTTCCAAATTAAGTACTCCCTCTGTCCCAAAATTATTGTCCAGTTTGAGATTTCACTTTTAGTACAATTTGAACTAAAAATGAAAATCCAAACTAGACAATAATTATGGGACAGAGGGAGTAATTCTTTTCAGTAAGTGGCGTAGACACTAACAAAGTTCCAGGCGAATCAGATCCATGCAATTGGAGTTGATGCTCCATCAAATTGACAATCTGGCCTTCAGGAGCCATGGAATCAATATTTCTGACTTAATCTGAAGACTAATTAAAATAAATAAGAAAGCGGAATGATGCGTTAGTTACCAGGTAGGATTAACTTGCTCTGATACTATCTTGAAAAAGAAAATTAGGCATGAATGAAAAAATTCTCAATGATGAACAAACTCGAAGAAATAAGCCAGAGAAGAAGAAAACTGACTTTGTTGCTTTTTTGGCATGTGTCTTATTTTTACATTCCTATTTAAACTAATCTGTCTATGACCAAAGCAGTAATTTACAATCCGTAGAAGTCTCAAAGAACCAGCTAATCATACAAACAAAATTCTAACTTCCTATCTTTATAGCCTGTTTAAATATTACACCAATCTTAACTGCAACATCACTTAACTAAACTCAGATTTGAACTTGGATTTTTAAGCAACTGATTAGGATAACTTTTAACCAACTTATCAGAACAACTTTGATGTGAATAATTCAACACTAATTATTGGAAACTCATAATACTCACATGGAATGAGGAGTTTCTTTTTCATATTTTAGTTTAAATTTATGTGAACTGAGAGAAACTAACTATATGACGTGTTTAGATAAGATAATAAAGGGTCAATTTATATATGTACATATAAGACATTGATGAAATGCTTACAAATGTTCATCTGTATATATGTTCAGGGCTAATGCTGAATAGCCAAGTGCAGAGTGGATAACTGCTTCAAGCATCTACGTACACTATTACTAAAACAAAAACCTCCATATATAATCTTTGATGTACTTTTCTATCGCCTTCTCATAAAGTCATCGAGCATTAGTATTATTGTGTCCAACTCCAAAGTAACTAATATCAGGCATTCGCCGCGATTTCGTTACTTCTCCTCACAAGGAATGAAAATCTTCTTGGTTGTGGAGAAGAACGAATAACTCCTTCTTCGTTGTCCTCTAGGGATCTTCCCATGGTCTCTGGCATAAACAACCAAGTCCCGGCACATCCTATTAGCGACACAATGCCTAGGATGATTAGCGACGCTCTCATTCCTAACCCTTTCCCATAACCGTTTCCAGCATGGCCGTGGGAAGCCCAAAGGAATCCAACAGCTCCAATAATGGCTCCTACTTTTCCAGCCGCTCCGGATATGCCATGACATGTCGACCTAAACCGGGCGGGAAACAACTCCGCGGGGACTATGAAAGTCGTCGTGTTTGGTCCAAAGTTAGATGAGAAGAAGATGAGGCCGTACAACGTCATGAATCCCGCCGTGCTACTGCTACTCTGGCTGCCTCTCCAGTAAGAGTAATATGGAATCCCGATAGCGAATAACCAGATGGCCGTGAAGAAGAAACCTGCCATCTGAATAGGGACTCTTCCAATTCGGTCGATGAAGTAGACAGAAACAAAATAACCTGTGCAACAAGAAATTATCAAAATGAACCTATGTAATTAACGACAAAAGATTTTATGTGACACTTTTGTATTATATTCGATATGACAGTAATCTTATCTAATCACTTACTTATATAGGTTCATTTACCATTTAATTCATTTTAGTAGTGTTGTATTATACCGAGCCTAACACAAAAGTGTCACAAATAATCTGGTCGATAGTACTACTTTGGTTTAATTACTTTTCAACAACCTGGAATGGTGGAGCATACAGCTATGATGCCCTGGAGTTTCGCAACCCTAAATGCAGCATCATAGGCATTCAAGTGATCACTTCCGAGATCCAGACAACGTTTGTAAATGTGGGATTGTAAGAGGTTGTTGCTGTAAAACACAACGTCTACGAGGAACCATGCCAGTGAACAAGAAAATAGGTCGCGGCCGTGTCGATGCAAGAACTCTTTGGAAAAAAGAGGATATGATGAGGTTGATGATGATGTCGTTGGAATTTGGGATTCTGGATTAATTTGATCATCTTCTTCACCATCTGGTTCTTCAGCAATAGGACTCAATGAGAGATTAAAGACTTTCTGCATGTCTTTTGTTGCTTTCACCACATTGTTTTCTATTAGTGCTGTGTACCTGTTCAATTAAATGTTCACAATTCACATAGATTCAAATTCCTCTCTTCAAGGTAACTTCTGTACATTTATACAAGGTACAAAAACACCATATAGATGATCAACTTCTTCCCCCAATGTGATTAAGGTTCATGCAACTTTGTTTCTTCTCTTTTCTTTTAAGTTTTAACATTAGCGTATAACTAATTACTCTTCCCCCAGTCTCGTAATAATTGTCATATTTATTGTACTGCAAAAAGTATAAAAACAGGAAGATCCTTTTAATTAGACTAGAGAGTTATTGACTAGGCCAAATACTTTAACCTTAATACGTAGCTAGCTACAGCCTACATGTGTTTTGGCTTCAATATCCTCAACAATTTTGTGATTTTAAACTCCATCTGTCCCGTTTAATGGCCTTACTTCTCAATAGATCATAATATAATATATATATATATATATATATATATATATATATATATATACACTCCCTTCCTCTCATAATTATTAATTGTCCAGTTTGGATTTTCATTTCTAGTTTAAATTGTATTGTATGTGAAATCTTAAACTGGACAATAATTTTGAGACAGGGGGAGTACTTAACATTTTTTTCTCTTAAAAAGAAAAGAAAATTTCAAATACGCAGGCATAAATTAAGAATTTATCCAATGATTATTCTGACTCAATACGTGAGCATATATTGGAACTTGCTTTATACATTTACTGTTTTGGAACCACAGCAATGTCATGGAATGAGTTCAATCAATGGTACAAGACATTTAACTACAATTTTTCATTTACGTGGAAATCAATATGCACTTTTTAGATTCACTACCTTTAGTTGACTACATTATAATTTTCTGAATATAAATCCATTTTTTCCACCAACATTCATGCTCAAGTCATATTTAAGCCATAACATATGTAGTTCTGGTACATTTTATGAGAAGAAGAAATGGAGTACAATTACTTAGCTAAGTCCTACAAATTTGTGTAAATAGGATAGGAAGAGTGACATTGATATCTTCTTTCTACACTATTTTTCTTACTTTTAGAGAGGATAAAGATACGTACTACCTACCTGGCAGTTTCCGGCATGGTCATACGCCAGTAGAACGTCAGCCCGGCCGGAATTGCACCGATCATCAGAATCACCCTCCAAGCAAGGTCAACCACCTCCGGTGCCGGCCTATCAGGATGACCAGATGCCCGGTTGAACACCGCACACGTCACCATTATAACAGTAGACCCCACCAAGATCCCAAAACCTTGCATGGAGAAAACCGCCGCAATGAAAGCCCCTCGGGTGCTCCGGTTGGCAAACTCCGACATTATCGTCGCCGACAACGGGTAATCCCCTCCGATTCCGACTCCCAGGGAGAACCTAAACAACCCCAGGCTGATCAGAACGCAGCTCCGGCACCTCCCGACGGAGAACCCACAAGCTATCGAGCTGAAAACCATGATCATCAAGGCAAACCCGTAGACTTTCCGGCGACCCATCAAGTCGCCCAGCCGGCCGAATAACAGCTGTCCGACGACGGTGCCTAAGAGAGTGATGGACACAAGGAAGGAGGTTACGACGGCCGGAACATCGTCGGTGAAGAGGAGGAGCGGATGATGACGTTTATCGCCGTCATCATCGTAGTAATATACGTAGCCGATGAGCTGCATGATCGGAGAGATGCAGAAGAAATCGTAGGCGTCGGTGAAAAGACCCATTCCGGCGACGACGATTGCTCGGAAATGGTAGTATTGTACTTTTGCGGCGTCTAGAGTTGACAACACCCTCAAATTCAATGGTGGCTCCATTACTGAAATTCTATTTGATTTGTGGAGCCTTATTTGTACCTAGCTGTTTATAAACCTTGATAGAGAGTTAATGAATTTCTTGAAGCTCAAAATTATGTACAAAATTTCACCAGAAAAGAGAGATTGAGATACATTTGACTTAGAGTGTTGGTGACTAATGACTCAATAACAACCATAAAAAATAAATGCAAAAATAAAGGGAGGAAAATAAGAAAGACTCTCTTACCATCGTCATGGTTTATATGCTTGCAGTAGACGTAAAGTTTACTTAGTAATATATATTCTTTTAACCTATATATGCACAAAAATTAAGAAGAAAAAACTGATTGAAAATCTTAATTTATTATATGTATAGTACATATGTCACCCTTAATTAGATATCTTCGAAATATAAAAAAAAGAAAATCTAAAAATCAAGTAGAAAAGTCTCTAAGTGGTGTGTAGTACAAAATATAAATAATAAAAGTTGGTTTATTATTTATTTCGTAACTGCTTAATAAATTCGATATTTCTAATTTAGTATCAAGTGTTCATAATTAAGCCCTAATTTTCATCAAATAGACCCTAATTGTCATTTATGTAGATTTTAAAAGTGGAAAGAGATAATAGTGAAATTGTAAAAGAATATAGCGAATGAGGTATTAGCAATGAAGTGCTAAAAAATTATTGGATTCAGAGAGATTTATGAAAAAAGTGGAGGTCGTAATTTCTAATGGGGTTTCGGTGTTTTTTTTGTTAAACAAAAAAAGATATCCCACACATTTTGGAGGTAAATTTTGCACTAGTGTATAGATTGAGGTTTATTGTCGTTTCCATTTTATGTTTTACAAATAAAAAAAATCAAGCATATTAGAAGACAATTATCGACCTCTTTTTAACATCCTATGATAAGTTCTAACTAGAAATATAGGGAATTGATTAAGATGTAGATAATTAAAGCGTATAATGCTTATTCATTTATTCTTCAATAGTTCGTTAATCATTCAAGACATGGATCGTTGCATCGACTACCATCAAAGTTATTGCAACTGTTTTAATTGTGTTCTTGAATCTGTCAAGGTGATTGGATCAAATCAATCATGCTATAATGAAATGCTAAATCAATTGAGTTTTTAGTGTAAGATAAACGTTTTGATGCTTAGGTTAATTTTTGTATAGTAAATTAATGATAAGAAAGCATACACATTCAAAAATATGTCGTAGGATTCAGTTTCCGATTAAAATCAAACTTTAAAGTACAGATAGGATCTGGAGGGGCTACAAGGAGCTACTTAATTATTGTTTGTTCAAAAATAAGAATATCGTTGTTTTGGGACAAGAGAAACAAGTATTTGTTTGATTTGGGAAAAAAAAACTAACTTATATACTGTATTAAATTACAGATTCAGCTAGTAACAAACTCAAACTTAAGTAGAATAGAATTGCAAACAAATGCACTTGAATAAAGGAAGATTATGATTTATGAGGTACGGACTACACAAAAAATACAAAGATCTATACATAATAAGCACTTAACATCTTGATATTAGTAGTGTTAATGATTGGTTGAGAAAGTATTTTTGGACACCTAGTACGTGAATATACCAATAAATAATCAACGAAAAGTTATTTCTAACATTACTTAGAAGGGAGCTATCAAAAAAATTAAATAAAATGAAAATGAAGAGAAAGTATAAAGAGAAATTCATAAATTTAAATGAACGACCTCAAATGTTGCGACCAATTTTAGATGTACTATGACGAAAAAGTAGGCCAATAGTAAAATTTTCGTATAATTATGACATAAGTATTGGACCAAAGATTGATTGTGTAGGCTAATGTAATGAAATAGTTATGACTAATGCCGAATAATAAAAATGATACTCCTTCCGTCCCATAATTATTGTCCAGTTTGAGTTTTATTTCTAGTTCAAATTGTACTAAGAGTGAAATCTCAAACTGAACAATAATTTTGGGACAGAGAGAGTAGTATAATTATTGAGTTATAGAGGTAACATAAATAAAATATAAAAAGACCTCGCAACATTAAGAATAAGGTTTGATTTTTTAGAAATTCATATTTTGTTGGATGAATTTACCGTCTCCATCGTCCAACGATGATGATTATGAAATCATGAAAGTTCAAGGATATGGGAAATTGGAAGGTAATTTCCATTGTAGTAATAATTTTAGTTAATTTATACGATTAGATGGCTAAGTTGACTTTGACGAAGAATGATGAATAGGAGTCAAAGATTCCGTCCGGATATTCCCACTTACAACGTCATCGGATGAAGACCATATCTGGTACTTAATAATCAACACTGTCAAAGTCTAGTTTTTTTTCTTTTTTTTTTTTGAAAATATCATTTTATAAATAATTAACACTGTCAAAGTCTAGTTAGAGCTTCTGAAAACCCGGGAAAAAATGACACATTTAACTCATCATCAGCAACCAGATCATCAAAGTCATCGGTCCATTTATGATAAGGCAAAATTATGGTAAACAGTTGTGGAGTATGAAGTCAAGGCCAGTTGTGGAGTTTACCACATCCGACGGACAGCGGGACGTGAGCAAATTCGAATCTTTTTTACATGCAGATGTGGTTTCCCAAATCTGCGAAATCCCACCGCCTTTGATTAGTCTAGGAAAGGACAGACCAAGATGGCTATACAATGGATCAGGTAAGTTTTCAATTAAGTCTGCCTATTTTTTAGCTCTTGAGGATTCAATACTGCGGGTAAATCAGGACTGGAGGAAAGTTTGGAGGTGGAAAGGACCACAGAAAATCAGAAGCTTCCTCTGGTTAGCTATGCATGGGAGACTACCGAGAACGAGCTATGCAAATCTCGTGGATCAGTCGCTTCTGAGGTGTGTACCTGCTGTCACCAAGAGCCAGAATCTACCATACATGCCTTAAGGGACTGTTTTCTGGCAAGAGAGGTCTGGCGGCAGCTGGTCCCCAGCCACTGTATGCAACAGTTCTTTCAGCAGGATATAAAGGAGTGGTTGCGCAACAATCTAGAGAAGGATTTCAGGTGGAGTATGAATTTGAGCAGGATACAAAGGAGTGGTTGCGGAACAATCTAGAGGAGGACTTCAGGTGGAGTACGAATTTGGGGCTACATGCTGGTTGTTATGGACATGGAGGAATGACAGGGTTTTCAATGGAGGGACCATTAATACTCAGGGTGCTGTCAGAGTTGCAGTAAGTAGAGCGGAAGAGATTGCAAGAAGTCAAACCATCTTGAAATGGCAAAGAACATGAACCAGCCGAGAAGAAACACATGGATAGAAGAAACCTACACCCGGTGGTTCAAGATGAATTGCAATGCCGCAAGATGTACAACAACCGGTATTTCAGCAGCAGGAGGTAATCTAAGAGACGAACAAGGGCGTTTCGTGAAAGCCTTCAGCAAACAGATAGGACAATGTTCCATAGAAAATGCAGAGATTAAAACAGTTCGGTTAGCTATGAAAGTGGCAAGTTCGCAAGGGATTATCAGACTAATTGTTGAATCAGACTCCTATCTGGCAATTGATTTTGACCAGAAAATGTTGGGAGAAAAATACCCCTCGACCACGATTTGAGGAGTATCTTTACTCTTTTGAAAAAGGATTGGCAAGTGTGTTTCGTACACACATTTAGAGAAAACAATAGATGTGCCGATGCTTTAGCAAAAAATGCACTAGATAGGCAGAGGGGGTTATATTTTTTTGATGTTCCCCCAGGATGTATATCCTTGTTTCTAGATCAGGATGCTAGGGGTAGTGCAAGCTGTAGGAACTAAGCCAAGTGTATGCTGCAAGTTTATTGATTCACCAAAAAAAAAAAAAAAAAATTATGGTAAACATAGGACGTGGATTACATCAACTACAATACATATGTGAAACCTAAACCGGCATCAAGTGATTTCGACAACATAGTCAAGAAAGAAAAGCAATTTTGATAACACAGTCAAGAAAGAAAGAGCAAAAAAAAACAATCATTACAGCAGTTAGCAAAGTTAATACAACCTCCAAATTAGACGCATGAGTTCTAACGTTACAAGGTTACAGAGAATACAATCACGTCCCCCTTTTTCTTACAATCATGAATACAGCAGATGTAACGGTTATAACCTGCAATTCAGAAGGTCGCATTTCTAATTTGGACAATGAAAGTTGCAGAAACATTAAACATGTAAAGGCAGGGAAGAGCAATCATACCATTTCTCGAACATGCCATTAGCGGAAAGTTGAGGTACTCTGAACTTCATTACCACGACTTCTAAAATACCACCAGGTTTGAACGAAATAGAGCTGAGTCTGGGGTCTACTGGTCCGGGCAAATTAAAAGAAATTTTGAAGGGTCCCGGAGGGCTAAGCTGCTGCAATGCAATTTTAAACTCCTTAGAGGAATTTTTCACAAATTGGGACTCAGTAACCACTCCTTCTATGTCAACCCTTCCGCTCCTTTCTATGTTGCATTTCACTTTATCTGCTCCCATGATAAACAGAATTATATTCAATGATTACCTGGCAACGGAAAAACCTTATCTTGCAAGAAAGACCAGCTCAAAGTCGAACCAGATTGTCCAACAAAGATGCCATGTATATACATATGCAAGCAACATTACACTTAATAAAGAAAGGAATGTAGAGCATGCATTGTTATGATGATAATTAAAAGTGAGTGCAACTGTCAATACATAAGAACAGGTTGCCAAGTGGCACTGTGACCAGGAAAAGTGACCCGCCAACATTCATACAATCAACCATTATGATAATTCTTGAAGCTTCAAGTAGATAAGCCCACACCAGAAGAGCATAGACAATACAGTCCAAATTTATTAAGTTAAGACTTCAATATTACCCATTATCCCATGGCAGTAGCTTCAAATACTGATTGGTCTCCAGCAAAATAAAAATGCCAGCCAACAAAGAGCTATTTATTCTTTGTTGTTTCTTCATTTGTTTTTACAGGATTTATTTGAGATCAAATTTGCTTTATAATATTCAGGAAAACACTAATGTGATACAATTAGGCAGGTTGCTGGTGCAAACGGGTCACAGTTTTCGAATATCACATGTCTTAAGCTATCAAGACCTTTCTCAGAGAAAGAAACTGAAACTTCAATAACTTACCGTCATTCCCTCGGACACCAGGAAGGCTAACACGGCATATATAAGCGCTTTCATTGACACCAATGTCAACTCTCCCAAGAGGAGGTCCAATTACAGTATCAGCGGCACTTCCACTTAAAGTTACCAACGGTTTCAACAGTGTAGACTCACTCAACTGTTCGGATTTCATTCTTTAGAAAAAGCAGTTATGTCTTCCACCACTAAGAAAAAGCTTAGCTTCCTGAAAGTTAGTAATGCAACGTTATAACTTCTCAAAAGAGCTATGATATTTGAAGTTACAGATCATGCGATCCATTTATTGCAGTAGAAAAGCTAATACCCAGGCTAAGATCAACAACATCAGCATGAAGTGGGCAACTTTAGTCCTAAATTATACCGAACTAATATGGCACAGACATAAGCCTTCTACCATGATCTACAAGGCATGTATTTCATGAACTTCATTGAGAAGAAGAAAAGGCTAGTTCAGCACTTCCTTTGCCAAGAAGAAGGGAAATGCAAAACATGAAACTTATAATAAAAATTCAACAAACAGTGAAAGATTTCCACCCGCTATTTCACGAACTTAAAGGATCATATCTAGATAAAAACAAAAATCGTCAAAAAGTAAAATAAGAAAATGAAAAATCAATATAGTAGAGATCTTTACGATTGAGGCTCTTATTACTTCACTAACAACTAGGTCAACTCTTTTAGGGCCTCTTACACCAGCTCTCAATTCCCATTTTCACCAATAACTTGTTACATGTTCCGTAGGCATACATGTTTACAATCAGTCCATGACTTTTACATATTCGAAAACAGAGTTATTCAATTTTCTATACAAAATCCAAACAAAAAGAAACTATTCAACTTCTAACATTCCTTCTGAATTGAAAAATTAAAACCAAAAAATAAATAAATAAAGAGAGAAAATTAAAACAAAAAAAATGCTATACATACAGAACTCTCAAGGTTCTTGAACGTACAAAACCATTAGAACCTGAAACCAAATGATTCATACCAATCGGGAACCTAAAATGAACACACCCAGGTAATAAAGAAAGACAATCTTTTAAGAAACAGGCCGAGATTGTGCTTTTGCCATCGATACCCCCTCAAAGGGAAAGCAGAACATTTAACAAGGCGGCTCAAATCCACAATAAGAAGCTCAATGATAGAAACTTATCGCAACAAGGCAAGTTCACCGGCGAGAAATGAATGTATGGCAAAGAAGAATATTAGGGATTCCCTCAAATTTAAGATTAAAGAAGAAATGAAAGAAAGATAGAATGATAAATAGATGGACGGATCGAAATAAAGAATATTACCCACTAAAGAGGAAGAAGGAGGGACGGATGCTGGAGGCCTGTTGCCGACGGTCACCGGACGAGCTTCTCTGTTGAGTGTGACTCCGGGAGATGTTCCCGTGGAAGTGTTTCTGTCGTCGCCGGTGGACTGGCAGTATTTTGAGTAATTGGATTTGTGTCATTGACTTTTGACTGAAATTAATTCTTTGGTCAATGTTCAAATTTAATTTCAAAACCCGCCCTTGTATTATTTTTAGATTGCAAAATACTTCCCACAAGTTCTCTTTTTCTTTTTATTATAATTTTTAAAAGTGAGAATTCAATTGCACTACTATTTCGGACAAAATGAGTCCCACTCCCCCCCCCCCCCCCCCCCACCCCCCAAATACAGGCAAATAATCCACTGTAATGCTACATGGTGCCCCTTTACACACACGTTATGCAACAAAATCGTTACCATAATGATGCAATCAATAGTACAGTGAGATGTCCGTCATGAAAAAGAACCTTTTAAAATAAAGTACTGTAGAAACTTCAAAATAATTTATACCTTAGAATTTTTTTATACAATTATTACTGCATTAACATTTAATATTATAACACTTTAATCTACGTTTTCCTATATTAGTTTTCACTAGGAGAGTATAATTAAATAAAATAGCCCAACCTACAGTAAAACTTATCTAAATTATAGGACCTCCCAAAATTTATTAATTTATCGATAAATTAAATTAATAATTTATTAATTTAAAGAGTTTTTCTAATGGAAAATAATCTTTGTCAACAAGAAAAGAAAAGTCGATTATGAATACGGACTTTTAACTTATATATACGGTATTAGGGTTCTTTGTGCGGCTACAAATTTTGAACCTCCTTTGTTAAAAGAAACAAAGATCAATAGATTCATATTTTGCTAGAAATTATTAGATTTGTTTAGGTAATTATTAATTTATAAAAATGTAGAGACCTATATATACATAGGGGATTCTTAAAAATTTATTATCTTATAAATTAATCAAGTTTTTTTATTTTTTGTACTGGTCCCGAGTTGAGATCGACAAAAATTATTATTTAATAAAGGTTATAAATTCATAGAGAATTAATTTAGAGAGGTTTTATTGTACACTAAATGTGGCTTACTAAACCTACTTAGTTTACACGTTATCCTATCCACATCTTTGATGGCACATTTTTAAAGTTTTTATCTAATCTGTGAACGCACTCACAAGTTATTTAAAAAGTTATTTGTTGTTATCACTTAATAGGTCCAAAGAAAATTAGCAATATATCATAAAAGTTTTCCACATCAGTTTGACTGGTTCAATTCTTGTAATTTATTGTTATTGTTTGAATTAAAGAATTAAATCGGTCAATATCAATCCGTTGAAATTAAATATTGCTTCAATAACTAACCCAAAAATAGGTGGCACTCAATAGTGCGATATGTATCTAGTCGTCGAGACAATAGCTAGATCCCAATGAGAGGAGGGTGCAAAAATCGTTGAATAACCAGAGGGAATATTGGTGATACATACCAATATTTACCCTCTACTATCCAATCCATCTCAATCTTTTAAAATTGAGTAACTATATCCCAAGGTTTTTAAAGTTGTGTGCAATCATCCCATGACCTGTTGTTAACCTGGAACAACATGTAAATTTTACTTAGTTTGGTATTTACTTCTTGTGCCATTTATTCCTTTTGTTTTATTTTTTTCTTTTTATTTAGTCTGGTTAATTATGTCATTTCATCGCTTCATCTCTCCCAATATCTTGTTACCGACCAAAAGATTTTGTTTCCAATCTTTTTGGAATTTTGATGGTTTTTTCTTAATAGTTTATTAATAAGTGTCCAATTTCAGCATATCTTTTACATTTGTAACATACATTTTTACAATTTAAATACAAACAATACCTAAAAACACACACTGGAAAAAGATCCAAACTTAGGTAAAAGTTTCAATTTATGCCTGAAACATGTGAAATCAAAATTCACCATGCATTATTTAGATATTAATAAATTTTTAAAAAATTGAAAAACCTATTGCTTCTTCATAATAAGGTCATAACTAGGTTTGAAAAAAATTTATAAAAAAAATTTAAAAATTAAGAGAGAGAGAGAGAGAGAGAGAGAGAGAGAGAGAGAGAGAGAGAGAGAGAGAGAGAGAGAGAGAGAGAGAGAGAGAGAGAGAGAGAGAGAGAAATGTCGTAGATGAACCAAATTTCATTAATGAAACCATCAACAAGAAAGTATGAAAAGATTGTTTAAAAATAAAACTCTAAAAAGAGTGAGGAATATCACAAATAAACTATACCGTTTTGATAGAAATCCACTACCTTATGAACTCAAACAAAAGATCATGAACACAAAATCCAAATAACCATTTGGATTGAACAATTTAATCGTAATACGATGAAACCCCTTACTATAATCGAACAATTACCCATATAATTGGTGACAAATGCAAAGAGCAAATCACTTACTCAACTACAAACAAACCAATCGAATATACTACTATATTGGATAGGACACATTTATAACCAAGGTAATAAGCAAACAAAACACATAGTTCATCATGCTATTTCCAAGCAAACTCATCTATATCAATAGATAAACCAACAAGGTCTCCTATAACCTAAAGACACAAAAACTCGAACAACCAAGCAATCAAATATGCTCAACCTATAGACTATCATATCAAAAGATGATAAGAAAATTAGTTTTAAGACAATTAAATTATGCAATATGCTCAACATGACAAAACGGTTTAACTCAAAGAACCATCCTGTTAGGCTTTAAGAAAGAAAAATTGACTAACCGTCCAACTCCTTCAAAACAACGAGATCCGCTCATTGGAAAATAAAAACCATAAAAGGTTCAATCGATTATTTCGACTCAAAACATTATTACACTCATCCTTTTTCGAAGAGAATTCGGCCACCTATTATAGGCAAGCTTTCTTGCTCTCTAAGACTTAAACCTAAACTTAAGGCTAAAGAAAAGGTCACCTACCTTTCCCTACTACTCGATCCATCATATAGGAAGGAAAGACGTTGCCAATTGTGACTCAAACTCTAATTTAACTATTAAGCAAAGTAATTAACTTTACTTCTTTTAATGACAAAAGACTCAAATACCCTTAATGAAATAAGGACTAGGGCCGGCCATACATTGGCTTCTTAAACCCTAATTTTATTTTAACTCCAAGTAAATAGAATTTTATCTATTTGCGGACTCAACAATAAAATAAATAATTTAAATACTTCCCGTGCGACTCTCTCTCTCTTTTTGGCACGCATGACTCAAATCAAATCTTCAAGCTCCAATGATGTCTTCTGCACATTTGAATGTGCATCTTTATGTCTTCATGACGATTATTCTTTGGAACAAACTCACTAGCATCGATCTCAACAACATCACTTGAACTTCCATCACTTGAATCATCCCAATTATTTGCAAAGTCATCACTTGACTCTTTTGACAATTAATCTTGATTAAGTGACTCTTCATCTTCATTATCGCTTCCTCTAGAAGGTTGAGGAGAAAATTGCTTCTTAGAAGGCCAACTTCTTACGGCAAACTTTCTTCTAGACTTGAAAGGAAACAATCTCAGTCCTCCAATTGACAAGAACACCTTTTGCTCTTTCATTTGGTTTGAATTTCGATTGGAAGCCCTATGATTCTCATCAGAGAAGAGAGAGAGAGAGAGAACCAATTTTCACCTGTTGTACTGATGGGTACCGAGACCACAAAAAAACCTACTTAAAACTTGTAGTAAGTGATAAGAAAGGTCGATTCCACAGAGACGGGAAACAAACAAATGAAAATGGGGATCCAATGCAAGTTATGAAATGTATGGACAAAATTAGACTTGGGCAAGCGAGTTTATGATTTGACAAAGTGATGGAAGCCTAGGGTCGTCATCCTCTCTACTTTATATGTATATGTGATGATTCAATTGCTTTCTATGTGGTTTGAAACTGTATGATCCCTCACGATATTCCAAACAGCAGTCTTAGTAGCAGCAAGCCAACTAACTCACGTTGTTGACTCTGAAATACTACTAAGCCATTAAGTTCCTAAGCTCTTATGATTGCCTTGTCCCAAATACTTAACTCATGTTGTTGTTTGAAACCTTAGGCTTTACCCCCTTGTCATCGGTTAATCTTAGATGTTCTAAGTTAAATACCCTCACAGGTCTCACTTAACATGCAAGGACAATTAGTTAGTGACCAATTCAACTAAAAGGATACTGAAAATTCTAAAACTATGCACACAAATATCATCCGAGAGCTTAAATCAAAACATACTTATATAGAGTAGAGGGATTAGACCCTAGAAATGAGTTTAGCTACACATGGTAGGAAGCTCAAACACCATAGAATTAAGGTGGAGAAACTTCATCATGGTTATAAAAGAAAAGGTAGAAAATAGGGAAGAATAAAGTCAGGGAGTGTGGTAAAATGCAGCTGACTTCTCACTTCCCCAAGGGACACCCCTAAGTCTGCTTTCCAGACTTATGGTCTATTTCTAATCTACTGAACTAAGCTAACTCTAACTTCTAATCTTCTAACTCTTGTTGCCTTCTTCTTCTACTACTATTGGTTTATATAGAGGTTGGGGAGAGTAATCTTGGTTAGCCAAGTTGGTCTCCTTTTTACCCATGGGTTTAAGCAAAAGAGAGGAGACTCATACTTTCTCAACTCCCCCGCCCCTACTTCTAATAATCTTTTGGACAGGATTAGGTTTAATTCAGTTTTAAGTTACATCAACCTCTTCCCTTGTCAGCAGCATCACTTCATCACCTTCTTCACTTCCTTAGCCTTAAAGTCTTGGTTCAATTTGGCCTTAAACTAGCTCCTCTCCCTGCCGGCAATTAAGTCCCTAGATCACCAAAAGTCACCAAATTAACATATAAACATAAAATCCTAATCCAATTGACCTAAAAACTAAGTACAATGAGGCAAATTATGTGTCTAAAACCTTCCTTAGATTGACACTCATCATGTACCAGGTCAATTTGTATTGTTCCAGGTCATGCGATGGTTGCGCTCAATTTTAAAAACCTTGGGATATAATTACTCAATTTAAAAGTTTGGGATGGATCTACTAGTAGAGGGTAAACATGGGATGTATCCGCCAATATTCCCAATAACAAAAAGCATGAGCCTAGGTAAAGCGATGTCGACAATAATCTTCCTA